CCCCCGCTAGTGTAATTACTACTTCTTTCTTGCTACGCCTCTCCTCTCTCATCAACCTCTGATTTTCTGCCTTCATTTCCAACAGTTTTCTACTTGCCGGCGGTGCATACGCCCCACTGGCAGCAGCTGCTATCCCAGCCCACGATTTTCTCTCGCTCGCTCCCACCTCTCTGACCACTCCTATCTCATTCTGATATGCAACTGGTGACTGAAGACCGAGGCTGTGATCGCCCTGGCCTGGATCCCTCACGGGCAGTGCCTGGCCAGCAACTATCGCTGTAAGTTCACCCACAGTTGTTATCAGTTTCTGTAACTGCACTCGTATCGCCTTCAATTCCTCCTCCCTTTTCCCGTCCCGTTCCTTGAGCTCTCTTATCTGCTTTGCCATCTCAAGTTCTGCCCCTGACTGTAGACTCCTCTTTCCCCTGGCTGGTGCCCACCGGCTGATATTCATACCCGACAATGCTCCCTCTTTTGACCGCGCCCTCTTCAATCCACCCCTACATTGATCCTCCTCCTCTACCTGATCCGCCCAGCTAACCCCGCTACTCCTCTTCTCCATACCACCTGGAGTAGGCGTCCCAGCTTCTCCTCCACTACTGCAGACTAACTCACTACCATGCTCACTTCCCATGTCTTCTGTAGGAGATCCACCCATGGAGACATCATCCTGCTCCAAGTCTGTAGCAATGTCATCTTGTGGCCAGGATCTTCCACCAGGATCTGTCAGCGGTGATGGCTCCAAGACCACATCCATTCTACCTCCTTTCCCAGGCCCAGTATCCCCGTTGCGTGATAGTATACTATCTGGTTGCCTTATTGTCCTACTTGGGGTCCTATACGTTTTGGTAGGCCTCCGGACCCTTCCCAAGCCATCTCCCACCACCTCCCTTACTCTTTCCCTATCATCCAGCCCCCTCAAGTTCCGACCTTTGCCATCACGTTGTTTTCTTGAGTTCAGAACCATGGTCCACTCTTCCTGGGTGAGCTCCATCTCAGGTGCTGGAGCCCTGTCGTTGTTGCTTGCGGCGTATGTTTGCTTATTTGTCTGCTAACGCAACCAACCTTGGCGGCCCCCCCAGCAGCTGGGTGTAAGCGAGGTTTGTGTGAATAGGCCCAGCGCACCAGGTGAACAAATGCACCCGAGTAAATGGTGAACGGAGCCTGGGCTGAACAGGATGCTTGATCAGTGGTGGTGGTGGGGCCGCTCCCGTTGAGTAAAGGAAGTTGATCGAATAAGTAGTCAGCGTTCTCAAAACTGTTTGTCCTTCTACCTTGCCAGTCTCTCTGTCACTGTCCTTATCGTCTTTTATTCAATTCAGGAAGTTATCGCCGAAGCAATACCTTGCTGCATTCAAGATAAAATATATATATGACGGGCCCCCGATATACCTGGGAACGCATTATTTGCAATGGTCTCGTATGCTAGGATTGTCTGTGATATATTCCAAGTAATGGCCGTTTCTGTTATGCAGTGAAGCCAACTGATCATAGGGAGATGGGATTCCGTGAACGTTTGGCGATTTTTTGTTGTCAGAAAAGGTGTCCATGGCAGCCCGAGCAGTGCGGGAGGTGCCCACGGATTAGCCCCGCCACCCGGGTACCCGTAAGGAAACATTTCCCCCAACGCCGTATAGGCAGACGCCTGAGCACCGGTAGGGGCAGGGAGGGGGCGGTTTTATAACAGACAACAGACGACGCTTTGCCTCTGTGGGGCCTCCTCTATGGGGAGCAGAGCCAAGGTCGACCCGTTTCGCAATAAACTAGCTTACAGGCGGAGAGGATGATTTATTACCACTTGTTTTTCTTCTGGTGTTAGGCAATGGGAGGGATGGAGGACAGGCCATTTGCAGAAGAAGGGACACGACGCTTCAAAAGTACTGGAATCTACTCGAGTACGGGTGCACCTCGCTATCCCGGACGACTAAAATCCGAAGGTTCTGTAGGGTACAAAGAATTATCTAATACAACTGCTTAGAGGGGAGCGGGTGGGTTTTCACACGGGTGACATTATTATAATAAAATATTATGATACCTCTCTGTCGCAAGAGCTCCGTCACAGCTAGGGCCTAGGGGATATTTCGCGGGAATCGAGAGTGATGAAAAACTCAAGAGCAAGAGCTGGCCAATGCCGGGACGGAAGAGAGTGCTGGTCTCTGTTCTATTGTTCCCTTTCTTTTCTTTTCTTTTCTTTTTTCTGCTTGCTGGTAGGGTGGTGCTGACGCGCTTGGAAGTCCACCCAGGTTAGAAGCAATTAGTTTCTATGTGACGGAGGTGGAAGCACAGGTCTCAAACAACATACAGTAAAAGGGTTTCTGTGGGGATGGATTGGTAGTATGATAGGCAGAGGCTTCAAAGCTGGGGTCTATGTGTGAGGTTCTGATGCTTGAGGGAAAGGTGAAGGTATTAGTGATGAACGGGGTCGTAGCAGGACTTCGATGGGGGGGGGGTACTCGAGTACTTGAATGTAATGTAATACGGCACGTGAGCCTAGCCCCTCCCTACTAATACCGTGCTAGCACGGCTGAATTGAAGTTGCACACTGTGTACGAGTACCGTACTGTACAGATAGCTTACAATTTGAGAGGATAAGGAGTGACTCGCGACCCGGTGGGAGATTCCCGCCTCGTCCGGGGCCCTTGGTAGCAATCCCACCGGGTCCTGCAGGGGCTCCCGGCCATTATGAGCGCTACCATTCATTATCATTGCAAACCCCAAATCCATGCCACTTTCCCTTACGGCCTCTTCCCCATATGGTTCCAGAAGAACTCTTTATCCTGACGATTCAGTGCCGTGATCTATAGCTTCTCCTTCTTAAAACTTAATATCAAATCGGATACAACTACTCAGGCCAGAGTATAAATGTTCGTACACTCCGGATTTGCATTAACACCTTCACCAAGGGTCTTTCAGCCGGCCACAGTGATCCACGGTGATACACAATAGTGGGCAAAGATAACGTATCATCCTAGTATAGCCGTGTAGGTGTAGGAACTACTGGCGCATACGCTAGCGTTCTCTTAAATCTAGGTCAGTACTCGTACATACGCACGTCCTGAAACCCCAGCAAAACCAGGACAATCACAATGGATCACCCGGAAGTCCCAAGTCCGCAGCTATCCGCTGTTTGGAATCCCCAGGATCCGGCGCGAGTAACAATGACGGACCGGAAGCTCCTCCGAAGCGAGAAACGGGAGAGAGACGAAGGGCAAGCAGAATAGGCACGATGCACAGGGAGCGGGGCTAGGAGAAAGTAAAGATGTGTGGAGAGGAATATGGGGTCAGGCGAGGGGGCTGCGAGGACCCACCCGCCCCGCCCGAGGACTAATCTTTATAACTGAAGGGGGGGAAGGAAAGAAACAGATTTAGAGTAAAATCCTTCGACGATAGAGAGAGCACAAGTACGAAAGCGTCTTCGTGTGTCTGCGCATGTTCATCGCCCTGTTGTGCAAATGTTCACTATTAGATTCACATGTCGCTTCCTATTCTCCTCCGTTATTAGCTACATGTATGATACGAGTACACCGTGTCTAACGCCCCCCTCGGGGACATACCACGACCCCACTCATTATCAATATCCTCAACTTTTCCCTAAGTTTTAGTCGTCCGAGGTAGCGTGGCGCGACTGTACAGTGCTCGTATACCGGTGTTACTCTTGTGGAGAACTGTGCCCCCCTTTTCTACAAACGGATTGTGCTCTATCCCTCCCGCCGACCGCCCTTCACCGGGGGGCAGAGAGGTGGTAATGAGGTGGTCTCCTCCGTCTGAAGGCTGGATGGTTGCGAAATGGGTGGATCCTTGTTCTGCCCCCAATTAGAGGCCGCCCCAAAGCAGAGCCTAGCCTGTTGTAAAAACCGCTTGGACCCTACCGGTACTGGAGGATTTATAGGACGTTGGGCGGAATTCTTTCCTTATGGATACTCGGATGGGGGAGCCAATCCGTGAACAACCGTCGTACCGCTCAACCCGCCATAGACACTCCTTCTAGTAAACAAAAACTCGCAAAGCGCTCACGGAATCTCTTCTCCTCACAATCAATAGGCTCCGCTGCATATCAGAAATACTCATTCCGTGAGAATGTTCATAAACTATCATAATCTCTATATCCGAGTGCAATGCGAATAACGTACCGTATCATACCCCACGGCATACCGTGAAAACCCGAAGAATTGAATCTTACGTTAAGACGTCTAGAATTCCTTCTCTTGGATACCGGTAGGGGGCCGGAAGCACAGCCAAAAAATGACGCACTGAGGCCCCGGCTAGAGGCGAAAGTGGAGGAAAAAAAAAAAGGGAAAAACACGGCACGATACTAAGGAAGACAACTCCAACGCCCTAGCTCGAGGTTCAATCATTCGAGTTTATACGGTAGTGGGCCATACTTGTTGGACGTGTGTGGACGATGGGGTGAGATGGCTGTATTTCCTAGCTACGACAAAGGCTGTAGATAAAGGAAATACTCGTACATGACTGTTGAGCCTCCTCTCTCGCTGTTGGATCACTCAAAAACCCTAAATACCTATATATGAGGGTAGCCACCTGTACCACCCGCTAACAATAATGTAAGCAGGTTCGAGCGATGCAACAGGTTGAGCTTCGGTCAAGATTATACGATAATAGTGGCCAGTATTTGGGTATATGAGCTCGCTATGCTATGGAGTACGTTAGAGCGGGAGAAAACGAGACAAGCGCAGACTGCCCAAATAAAAGCTATTTGGGTGCAATAGCAAAAACCACAAATCCCAATTCCCATTCATAGTTAACGACAAAACAAACCGGCACAGAGCGGCAATTCCGAATGCCAAGAAAGGCGGTGGTGAAGAAGAGGGGGGAAAAAAAAAGGGAAACAGGAATATGGGTACGTGACGGTGGTTTCGGGTACAGCCAGGTGAGAAGGGAGAGAGAGAAAGAAAAGAGAAGCAGGAAATACAGGCACGATTATGCAGGAATATAAGAACAGTTGTGACGCCTCAACATATATCTCGAGGAGTTTCTATCTACTAAAATTTGCGGAGTCTTCTCTGGTTGAGGCTGATCTGGTCATCGACATGATCACTCTGTTTCCACAGGTCAATACTGTTTCAATCAATTGGATGGGGTGACAGAAATACCTTCTCCGTGATCCTGTTGATCTGCTCGTTCTGTCTATCAACCACTTTACCACTAGCAATAGCTATCCCTTTCAACCGTGCGGTAACAGCCACCAGCTGATTCAAATCGGAGTTAATCTCATCCTCCGCACGATCATCGTCCGAGTCTGGCTCAAATTGATGTCGGGATCTCTCGGGATCGCTTGGCTCCCTCTCACTCTCGGCGCGCTCAGCTGTTGTATTGATGCCCCTTCCAATCACATTCTTGCTATCATATCCAAACGCCCTGGTCCTATCTCTTTCCTCCCTCTCATGCCGATTGCGGGCAATTATCCTAGCTTCCTCATCCCGAGCGCGGCCTTTAGAATGGAATAGGCCCTTCAGATTAGGAGAAAACAATCCGCGATTAGCATGTTGTAGTTCCCGTGTCTTCTCTTCCGCAATATGATTTTGGATCTCGGCGGTGCCCAGGTTTTGCTCGGTATTGGTTAAACGGTCGCCCTGGCCCCGGAGAGAGTCGAGAATTGCTGAACCGGTTTCCTCCGTCTGGGCAGCGATTTTTAATGCATTTGCGGTGCTTTTCTTGGTTTTATATTTGACCTCCCTGATCTCTCCCTTGATGTTCTCCGTTTCATCGTCACTCACTTGAGATCGGCTAGCGCCTGGCTGGCCATCGTCCTGATACTGAGACCGCTGTGGGTGCTGATAAGAACTTCCGTATCCAGTGCCGCTACCGTAGCTAGAGGGTGCTCCGCCGTATCCACCGCTCCGAGAAGATCCGGAACTCGCGGCGGCGTGCCCACCGCCCTGAGGAGAGTAAGGATTCCCGTTCCGGTTGCCAAAGAGACGGCTGCGGTTAGCATCATCGCCCTCTGGAGCTCCATTGCCGTAGCGTGGCATGTCAGGAAAACGGGCGGAGTTTTACGAGTGTGTGATGGGAGTGATTCTCGGGTGATGGATAGTGGCGCTCTGCGTAGTGCGATTGATGTAATTCTCGATTGACGGGCTGTGATGTTCGGTGTGGTGGAGGGAGAAGTTCCTTGAGAGAGGGAGGGGGGGGGGATACGGTTCGTATTTAAAGCCGAACGAGGGGAAAGCTGACAGTAGGCTTGGCCCCGCTGAAATGGCGACCGGTAATCTGCAAGGACATGGACAACAGGGGTGGGCTAGGTGGAGAAGTTACACCCTGCAGAGCCACCTTTCCAGTAAGGGTAGCGGCGCCCCCGGTGCGGCTGTGAGGCGAGAGTACTCGAGCAGGGTTGGTGAGAAAGGGGTGGCCAGTGGTACAAGTACCGTACTCGAGTAGTCTACATTAGAATCGACGAAGGTTATGGGTCTTGGCGTTCAGGTTGTGCTCGGGTACGGGTGCTCGTATCATACTGTAGACTGCCAGCCACACTTGGAAAGCCAGGGAAAAAAAGGGCAGTTCAGGGTTTAGCCCTCCGTCGCCTTTAACACCTCTACCCTCATATCATCATACACTGGTGCAGTGCACTATCACCCGCAATAAACTCAAAGCCATTCCGCCCGCGCAACTGTACTCGCAGTGCTTCCAGTCGTCCAGTCGGACTGGCGTCGACGGCCGTCGGACGGTTGCCGT